TGATACAGCCATCTGTATTCAACTTCCGGTACTTGCAATTCGATCCCATATAGGCCTATTGATTGTTGAGTGACCTACTCTGATGACCACCGTGGCCATTCATTATTAAGTATAACAACGCCCTGATTAAAGCCGCGATGTCCTCCATATTGTTGAGGCGGTATTTAACCCGTTGTCTTTCATCCTTTAACATCTGCTTCCTCCAATCCGCGCCGCCCTCTCGCGCTAATCCATGGGAACCTTGCGTCCATTCATTCATAATGTGACGCTTGTTCCATTCACTGGACTATTCCATTCACACAACAGGGTTATGGTAAATTGATCGCACGGCCAGTGGTCAAGGAAACCACTTGTCAATCAAACTGAACTTTGCGGTTTTTGTGGTCAACGGTTTTTGTATCCTTAATTACACATTACGGCCTGCTGCGGTTTTGATAACACAATACATGGAGCGTGACCGCTACACAAATAATGATTAAATGAATTCTTGTGGTCACTCAACGGTCAGTTTTCGTTCACCACAAGCCCCATTATTACTTATCACACTGATCGCAGTATTTTGTTTACGACCTGCCAGATTTTGACATTGACGTCAGAACGACCAATACCTGGTCCTGTTCTTTATTTAATACAACATAAGAAACATGAATATGTATGAATTGTATTATTTTATACGGTATACAGGCTAAAATGAAACGGAGTGGGGTTTAACGTCCGACTGTTTGTACAGACTGGGCTAATGAAGACGGGTATACGCCATACAGTAAAAAATGAGTGAAATGTTGCCCGACATAAACTATGGCATTTCGGGACTAACATGTGGTTCAATTTTATTTCAATAATTCGCTTGCGCGTAGGGGTCTTTAGCAGTGGAGGAAACATATGAGGTTAGACAGACGACCCTACTACTTGACACGCCATACAATAAAAATGAGTGAAATTTTGCTCGACACAAACCATGTCATTTCTGGACTAACATGTGGTTCAATTTTATTTCAGTAATTCGCTTGCGCGTAGGTATCTTTAGTGGGAGGAAACCCATGGGGTTGGACAGACGACCCTACTCCTTGTACAAGCAGGGAATCGAAACCACGCCACTTATGATCTAACGCGCACGCGTTAAACAATTCGCCCCCCCCCCCCGAAAACAGGTCTAGTCGTTCAGATGGGACGAAAAACCGAGGTCCCGTGTACACATTGGCGTGCACGTAAAAGATCCATTGGAAGTTGGAATTCGATATAAGAGTAGGCCCTAGTGCCGCTGCCCGGGCAAAATTTCCCTCATAGCACACTGTATGGCGTATGCCAAGCTTCATTGGCCCAGTTTAGGAGCAGAACAGTAGGACGTTAAACCCCATTTCATTTCATTTCCCGAAAACAGATTAAAATAGATCACCAATGCAGGTCTGTAGTTTCTTCAAAATCTGATATTAGAGTCTACGATTAAACCAGTGTTTAAATTTCCGCAACAGGACCCCCTGGTAGACGTTATTCGTGAAAATTGTGGGTTCTAACATTACCTTGTGGGTCCAATTTAACAAAAAACACACTTCACTCCCAAAGCTTTGAATTGCTAAGTTCCGTTTTACAGCCATTTGGGACAGGATTAAACGTTAAAATATGGATTCAATACCGATTGACTGTTCACATGACAATTTTAATGTCTATCTCTACATTTGAAGGATTTAATCTTATTACTAATATCCCACTCCTTTCAACCCTTTGAATTAATTCTCTATTTATTGAATTAAAGACATACAAGGAGGTTGTGTTCTCTAAAAAAAAGGGCCTATTTATATCCGCGTCGTGATTTCCGGGTTGTCTGTATTCCTTGGAAATATATATATATATATTTTTATTTTTAATTTAAGGGTGATTGAGGAACACGGCTAGATTGTTTCCTTATTCAAATAGGAGCGACGGATATCTGTAAACGATGTGTGTAGCTAATCCCATAAATAACTCAGGTTTGATTCCGGTTATCGGTAGTACGGTGGTCTGAGGGCGTCTAGTGTTTCGAATGATATAAGAAATCGGGGTCCCGTGTACACGTTAGCGTGTGCGTGCGTGTAAGAGAGAGAGAGAGAGGTCCCAGGGGTCCCAGGAAACCGGAGGTCCCAGAGAAAACCCACCAGGTTGAACAGGCGACCCTACTCCTTGTCACATAGTACTATCGGTGAATCGAGAATTGAAACCATGCCAGTTGACTCAATAGCAGACCTTGCGATACAATGCGCACGCGCTAACCATTCGGCCCCAACATGCACGTAAAAGAAGCCTTGACAGTTCAAATTCGGCGAAGAGTAGTCCTTCGGTTGGGAAGTAAAACCAGGGTCAATGGCCCACGTAAAGATGGACGAAGTGAAATTAAATGTTATGATATTCTTCCCATTAAGAACATTGACTTAAGTTGAGAAATTCTATAAATAAAACACGACCAAGAGACTTATATAATTTAATATATTAATAATAGTATGTTAGTCTAAGACTTAACCGTCTTAAATCCTAACGTGGACCGACACTTACGTCAGTCCGCAATCTCATTAATAAAGACACGATCCGAAGCGTACTAATGGATACCTAATAATAGGGTGTAATTAGCGGCCTGTTCATTAGGAGATGTTTTATTCCTGTAAGGATATATTTATATATATTTATATATAAGTCGATTGTACGTCATAAAACCATTATTGAGCGTAATAATTCTAATCTTGTAGATTAAGCTACCCCTTAAATAGCTTTATTTAACGTCCGCTTCCACCGAGGTGATATCGCAGACAATCCCCCCAAAGACCTTTAATACCAAGAATGTATAGTCGTTCGGTGGGACGAAAAACCAAGGTCACGTGTACACATTGATGTGCACGTAAAAGATTCCTTGACAGTTGCAATTCGATATGAGTATAGGCCGTAGTGTAGTTAAACCACATTTCATTTCCTACATTGCCGTATAATAGATGACATTGTGTCTTCCTTCTTCATACACTTCCATTGCCACTTTAAATATAGTATCTTTAGAAACCGATAAATCTTGCTCTTCGGGATCACCATCCAGAAGGGTCAATACATCGCTAGTCAGTGTCGTCATTTCCAATTTACGTTAAAATGAACTCAAATTATTGATTATTTAACACATTGCCCGCCCCCCCACATACACACACGCACAGACCCACCAAAATCGAAATATTTACGGTACAGTAGATAAAATAATCCCTCAGATTGAATACAGAGAGAGAGAGAGAGAGAGAGAGAGAGAGAGAGAGAGAGGTGGTTTAACGTCCACTCGACACAAACTAGGTCATTTCGGGTCTATCACATGGTTCAATTTTATTTCAATAATTCGCTTGCGATTAGGGGTCTTTAGCAGTGGGAGGAAACCGAAGGAACCGGAGAAAACTCATGAGGTTGGATTGAAAACAATCGGATTAAACGGGGGCCCATCAAAAGATGTTAACGGATTATAAATGGCTGGTTTGAAAAACACATAAAACAATGAAAAATAATTTATAATGTGCCAGGCTTCACATGAACTCGGGGGTAGGGCGAATGGTCGTAACTTCTGTCATTGAGTAAAGTAGTTTGGTTTCGATTCCCAGCTTGTACGTGATAAGGAGTAGGGTCACCTGTCCAACCTCATGGGTTGTTTTTTTTTCGGGTTCTCCGATTTCTTCCCACTGCTAAAGACCCCTACGCGCAAGCGAATTATTGAAATAAAAAAGAACCATAAAAATGTTAGTCTCGAAATGACCTCGTTTGTGTCAAGTGGATTTTAAACCCCTTTTCTCACAACTGGGGCTAACAAATTATGTCAAGGTTCCTTTACGTTCACGCTTTTCGTCCCATCGGTATGACTATCACACTAGGGTGATTGTTATTTAAACCGACAAAACCAAAACAAAAAGAAGAAACAAATCCGCATCTGTTTAATTTAGTTTTAAAAAGTCGTCTAGCTTGTCTCGGTAATTAAATCTGGACTTCTAACATGAATGAAGACTACGACGGTAGACTACCCTAATTTTCAAGTATGAGATACGACGATATAGGCTATTGACATACTAGCCGACTATATAGGCCTACGTTTTAAATTAAGATCTGCGTTTTAATATTCCCGCTAATCTATTAAATAAATACACGATTTTTGACATCGAATGACACGCATTCAATTCACCCTGTTCAATTTGATATATTAAAAAAGGTCATTTTACGAGGAATAGAAATAAGATCCCACGCGCCATGCGCGAGCCTTTTCATTCATATAGCACGAGAAACGATATAGAGCTAGGATCGAAGGATGCGAGATTACAAACGTTGACCTAATTTCTTATGTGGTTTTATTTGTTTTGCTGGTTTCAAATAAAGGGATTGGGATTAATCGGCCATATGGTACACTTAACGATGTTTTTCCGTAGCTGTCAGGAAGATTAAGGGTAAGATATAACCGGACCTTCAGTTAGTTTTCCGTCATTTGGCGGGATACTCAATGTATCGCAGCTTATTTCTTTCATTGACTGTTCCCAGCTTGTTTGCTATCACAGTCACGTGGTATATCGGCAGATTACCATATTTGGCATAAGATAAACAAACAAGTGCGTGGGCTTCATGTTTTGTTGCAGTGCAGTTCTTCTAATATTATTCCAAAACTATTTCTGTGCTTCATATTCATACTGGTGTTTTTCTTGCATCCTGTAATTCTATTTGTCCGCTTCAATCGCGCGAGAACGGATTATCTTTAAATTATTCTTACTCCCCCACATCCATAGTCGACTCACCCGACCGGAAGTCCTATGGGAGGTCAGTTTGCGTTTTTGGTTCATATTTCAGAGTGAACTGGCTTTTACCGTATAAGACTTCTAATAGTGTACGTTTGTAGAAAACTTCAAGTTCTTTGAATTTAAGATGTTTTTATCTTCGGATTAACATAAGTGTATTGTTCGAATGGATCTTGCCGTAAGTATTTTGCATGCTATATGTGACGGGCAGCTAGAAAATGGCCCGATTTTTATCGTCGAGTCGAGTAGGTTGGTTGATTTTATGTTCGCTAGTGTTCGAGCTGGCTATATTATGCGGCTGACATCTCTGCCCGCGCGCTGCTTTCGATTCAACTTGAACGAGTACAGGAAAATTTCCAGCAACGGGACAAGATTGTTTTTCTAAACTCACACTGATGCTGTGTTTTAAAGATTTTGTGAAGGCAGCGAGACAATTTGACTTGAAATGACAGTTAAATGTTGCAGTTATCGGACGTAACCGTGAGTGAAGCCATTCGATTTTCGTTTGATCAGTTTTCTGATGTTGACTTCATGTCCATGGTCAGTAAGGTGTTTGAACATTTTTATTATAATTTTTTATTTATATAATTTTGATGGTAAATTTAGATATATTTGGATTCGATGGTAAATTTAGAATATAAATTTGTATTTGATGGTAAATTTAAAATATTTAAAGTTGATCAATTTTAATATATATATATATATATAATATATCCAATGAATATAATTTTTGCAAAGAAGCAAAGTATACAATCATTTCTGCTTATTTCATTTATTACCCGCGGTACACAATATGACATTTATCAACCGGTATAATAATAAATGTTGTTGAAAATAATTTTCTACCTTCGTTGGAATAACAAGTTAATTTTATCATCAATAATTTTCATTTAAGAAATTCGAAGACTTGCTTGATCGTCTAGGAAGGTATATGGTCTACATATACCAATTGGTTATTTTGTCCATACATTAATTTGTGATATATTGATTAAACATATATTATGCAAGAGCTAAATCTGTCTATTGCAAGTCTTTCTTTAGTCCTGAAATGTTATCTAAATTATTAATTAGACATTAATTAACCTATCCAGACCATAATCAACTCTAGATGGCATCGCTAGCCTGCGATCTTTAGTGGATTATGAGCCGATTTACTGCATAACTTTCCTTCACGATTTAACGATGAAATGGATAATCGAGACTATGCTGTTTATTGTACTGACTTTAGTAAAGATGATCGAGGCTAGGTGGAAATTTCAACCGCTTAGTTCTCGGTTCATAGTGGATCAATTTGAATGAAATTTTCAGCAAATTGCCTTTACACGATCTGGTTATTAACTATTATAGTGAGAACTGCCAACTCTCCCATAATGTATCTTTAATTTACATTGATTAAGCATGAATTGAAATTATGTGATTTTATTTCTAATTGCAGACATTTTTGAAAATGTGGAGTTATGGATAGACTGTTGGTGTTTTAGAAACAAATAGTATGCCTATAGACACAACTGGAATGAGAGCGACAACCATCCGAGCTCTTCCACCTCCAGATGCCCAAACCGGCACACAAGCCATAACCTTGAACCAGGTGCGACCGGGCCCCAGGCCCCAAAATGAATATGTGGACAGTCCTGGGCCCCACAAGTTACATCCGTTAAAAAGTGTGACCCCTGCGATTCATCATCAACATGTGACGCAGCCACCTCGGATATGTTTACCGACGACCGTTCGGAATAGCCGATCAACACTTTCGAATCCTAATACTAATATTATTTCGAATCAGCCGACGTCGGTGTCGCCCCCACTAAAGAAGGATAATGGTGATAATGACGATGGACACGCAGAGTCGATTATTTGTAAAAACTGTGGGTTATGTCGCTGTGCTGCGTGCACGGAGCCACGGGAGCTACCATCACGCTGGTGCTGTGGAGATAAATGTGAATTGTCCGCAGAAAAGGCCCTAGAATACTCGACGTGTTTTTGCTTAGTGAAGGGAGCGTTTTATCATTGCGGTGCAGGCGGACAGGACGATAACTCTTGCTATGAAGATCCCTGTGCTTGCTGCTCGGGATCACACTGTATTCAAAGGTGGACCTGCATCACGATGATGTCCGTTTGTTTCCCGTGTCTTTGCTGTTACTGGCCGGTACGGGAATGCATGAAAGCTTTCACCACATGCTATAACAAGTGTCGCAAAAAAGGGTGCCAATGTGGTGGCTCTACGAAAAAGGGCAAATGCTCATCCAAACACTCTCAGACTCGCAGACTGCTTATAGAGTCGGACAGTTCGAGTGCATGAAAAAAAAATGGCCAAATTAACGGCATTTACAGTCCACGTAAAGTGGAGTGATCTTAAAGCGGGTGTATACATGTATGTACAGTAAAAGATTGTTGTGAATAGGATGAAATTCTGACAGGTCTATCAGTATATATATATACAAATGTCAGACAGTTATTATCTATATTTTGGATTTGGAGCAACTATGATTTAGATGTTTTATTCATGTGCTCTATGTGCCAATGGAATTGTTAAGTTGCACGTTCTGGGCATTATTAAATAACAAATGAACTAAATTGGAAAGGAGACCAGATATATATGTTAAATTATTTCTCAGTATTCGTTTCAAAATTTATGAAATTTATTTCTTTTCTTTTTTTGTATTTTGGAATCCACCCCATTCAACAGTTTTATTTTGTAAACTAAAAAAAATGGACCCAGTGGCTTTAAAGCACCGTGCATATGTACTTAACCAGTGAAATATATAGATGCTTGTAAAAAAATTTTGTGTAAAAATCAGGAATCTTTCTACGATGGAGTTTATTCAAGGAAAAGTGTTTTCAAAACCAAGATAACAGGATTACTGATAAAACAAAATGATGGTGTTGGTTTATCTCCCCAATAACCAAAATTATTGAATGGAATATATTATTATTATGATTACAGTATATCTTTTATAGTGTCTGTTGTGTCCGTTTCCCTAGGATTTAAATGTAAATGTTAAAAGATTGGAGATATTTAAATCTTTGTTATTCTTAAATTATCATCATGGAGGAGGTAGGATTCTTGTTACGAAATTTTTATCATGTGTTCAGACAATTTTGGATGTGACATATATAGGCCTGATCTTGCGGGTAAGGTGTCTTCAGTTTTGTTGGGAGCTGATGTTCATTAATGTCAGTATATTTAATGTAAGTACAGTACTGTTCTCATTGTCAAATTATTATAATGTATTCCCCCCCCCCCCTTTCTTTTTTTTTATCTATAAATCATTTCTTATTTGTGACTGTTTCTAATCTAATGAACCAATCCCCCTCATTTTGAACCTTGTCCATACACCTTGCCATCAATGAATAACAGTCACGAATTTCATCATAAAAAGTTAAGTTTTTAGAAATGTATTTGTTGACATCATCAAATTATTTCATTATTATTATGGATTTCTTACAGGATAATCCTAATGGAAAAATAATAGACAAAGTTCTCTAGGTCTGAATTTTCGATATAAATTTTACACTTTAATTTTATACATTTACTTTTGATTGCCTGGAGCAAAAATAGGGCCTACATGTACAAACATTTTGGATATTTTTTGTAAACAAAAATTACATAGAATATCCAGAAACAAGATTTTTAATTTTGAGAAAAAAAAAATGGGAATTGATTTTTCCTTCATACTTGTTCATGTGATTTAAAGTCTGTTTCAGATATCTGTACATGTACATTTTTGGATTTAGTACAGTGCTTTGTCATCATTTTTCTTGTTTGCTTGAGAAAAAACATATATTTATTGTGCTATATTCTATGTAAAGATTTTAGGACTACTTTATATAAAATAGGCTATATTTATTGTGAATTTTAACACTGCTGTTGAGACAGTAGACAGTTGTTATGGTGACTGATATAGTTCACAAGGAGAATGGGGGAGGAGGGGGGAGGGTAATTTCATTATGAACAATTTTCCCCACTCCCTGATAAATCTCCCCCTCATCTGTGAAAAGGACAGTCATTTAAAACCGTGGTGATGTGAAATGTACACGGTTTGGTGAGTGTATCAGTACGAAGAATAATGTGTATATATATATAGAAACAATAGATGCTGCACAGTCTATGAAAGCAGTTGTATAAAGTATTGTTGCTGTTATGAAATTATGTGTTCTGTTTTTAATCCCCTTCACTCCCCCCAAAAAAACCCAAAATATAATTAATTGTGTCCCAAGGGGGCATGTTCAGGAATTTGATCATTTGGGTTCCACGATGGAGACAACTTGAAGTTGACGTAAAGTCTGGGGGGATTACCCGACCATTTAATAAAATCAGAATCTCTGAGAATTTAGGTCCTTACCTGTATAGGAATAGAGTGTTCAGAGTGAATTGAAAACGGCGCCAAATCTTTGCACGTTTGTTCCCTCCATCATGTCAATGCATCAGGACCCTGGTCTGACCCTGTATAAACGTTGTTATCAATAGCTACTGCTAACCAAGGCCATGCATAATGTGATGTCGAATGCACTAAACACTTAATGCATTACCCAGATGCATTAATTCACCAATCGTGAGAGTTGTCTTTTGATAGCTATTGTTGCCATTCAACAGTCTGATATGCATACATACAGTACAGTATGCATGTACAATGCGTCCACCTTTATAATTATGGAAATATTTGTAAGACTTAGTCCCTTTCAGTACAATCTGACTTTTGAGGGGTTTTTTTTTTTGATATGTCTATGTTTTTCAGGAACAGGAAGGCACCATTGGATTATATACTTGTAAAATGAGACATCTGTGATTAATGAATGAATGAATGAACATAAAGGAAAGAATGAATGAATATAAAAGAAAGGATGAATGAATGCTACTTGTACATTTTTCTCCAGAAATACATTTTTGTGAATATTAGAAATAACTCTTGTCAGAGAAAAACAATTCCATGATTTAAATGTGTAAGCTACATGTAGGTACACTGTAGGGGGCATATGTACACTGTTGGCTACATGTACACCAAAGGGACCTGTGCATGAACACTGTAAGGAGATGTACACCGAAGGGGCCCCTATTTAAATTACCTTCTAATGCGCTGTGGTGCTACAGAGGCTCAATGTGGAAAAAGAAACATAATTTAGTTTCTCCTAATCATTCATTAAGACATTTTATTTAAATATTCATAATATACATGTAAGTGAAAATACATGTAGGAAGGACAGTACTGTCATTACAAATTACATGTAAACTTTCATCAAAATAACCCAGAGTACTGCCATTACAAATTACATGTAAACTTCTATCAAAATAACCCACAGTACTGTCATTACAAATTACATGTAAACTCCTAACAAAATGACTGGAAGTACTGCCATTACAAATAACATGTAAACTCCCATCAAATAACCCATAGTACAGCCATCACAAATTACATGTAAACTTCTATCAAAATGTATAGTACAGCTGTTTCAAATTTACAATTTCATGTACATATCCTAAGAAAATGACTTAGAGTACAGCCATTACATGTACATGTACATATTCCTAAAAAAAGTAAATTACCTTGGACAGTCATTCTAACAAAATTAAAACATACATGTAACTGTTCGAACATGGTCCATACATGTACACATCCCCAACAACACTAAAATATAGAATCCTACGTTTATGGGTAAACAGTAAGGAAATTTAATTTATGCAATTAAAACATAACTGTATTTCACCTACATTAGTATACATGTTCCTATAAATTATCAAACGTCTATGGGAATAAAAATTAAAGCGATTTAACGTATTCGATATTAAATATATAAACACGCCGTTCCACAGTTTAAGTAGACCAGCAGGATATGTAATATTAAATAGTCGACTTCCTATTATCCTGTTGTCTGAGGCTGTTCAAGTAGGAATTGTTGGGAAGCCCACAACTCACTGAGAGAGACCGCCATTCGACATGAATAATGGAGGAGGGTGGTTACAGAAATTATATAGGTTTATGTGTTAATAGATCGACAAGAAAGGTTCACTATTCATGATAACCGGAAATCTACCCTAGAAATTGTGATTCATGAATTACAGTAAACGGCTTATATAATAGTTTGTGCAAAATGTGTGCTGTGTGTTTCTAAATGATATCCATCGGCGTTGGATGCACTGTGTATTTCTTAATGATACATGTACGTGTATCTGCAGGGGAAATTTAGGGAGATCGCCAATCCCTATTCAGATACAAATCTGAATAAAAATACTGCTTATAAAAAAAAAAAATCATTTACTTTTTTAACAAATAAAAGAAACCAGATGCTCCATGAGATAAAATCAACTGGGATTTACCAATTTTTAAAAACAAAAGTCCTGCTGCTCCACGAGAAAAAATATACATTTATATACATTGTTTCTGTTATACAATGTACATGTAGCTATATGTACATGATTTTGTTGGTTTTTTTTAAAAAAAAAAAAGCAGAGATTCCACGAGTAAAAAAAGAAAAGAATATAATACCCTGTAGTTTTGGTTATACTTACATGTTGCTGTACATAAATGTTTTGTCGGTTGTCATACACTGGACAGGTTATGTCAAACAGAATTTAGCGATTGAGCACAATAAAAAAACACAATCTATATAGTAAACAATCACTGGTTTATACACACATATAGCGCGACGTTTCGACAAATATTTTCTTATCATTATCAAGCATAAAAATTATGTTGGGTTTTTTGTTGTTGTTGTTGAGGGAATCCTCGTCAAAATGTCGCACAGTTAATAAATCCAGTAATTGTGTATTGTACAATTAAACCGTGTGTTAATATGTTCAATTACTAAATCTCTTAGTAAAGAAATTACAATGTACATGTACATCTATGTAATGTTGTTTTACAGTATTTACTGTATTATACATTATATATCACGGTGGTACATGTAATTTCTAAAATAGTACACGAAGCCTGATTGGCACACAATTAATCATGTAAGCTTATGAATAATAAAAATATAACAATAAATAATACAAATAGTCTAACATTCACAACCATTAATAATAATAATAATAAAAAAACCAAATTATGACCGAATTGGGTTAAAGTGAATAAATTGAAATGAAATGGGGTTTAACTTTTCTGCACCGGTTCGGCTAATGAAGGCGGGCATACACCATGAATGGAAATGAAATGAAATGAAATGGGGTTTAACGTCCTACTGTTCTGCTCTGACTGGGATAATGAAGGCGGGCATACACCATGAATGGAAATGAAATGAAAAGAAATTGGGTTTAACGTCCTACTGTTCTGCTCTGACTGGGATAATGAAGGCGGGCATACACCATGAATGGAAATGAAATGAAATGGGGGTTTAACGTCCTACTGTTCTGCTCTGACTGGGCTAATGAAGGCGGGCATACACCATGAATGGAAATGAAATGAAATGAAATGGGGTTTAACGTCCTACTGTTCTGCTCTGACTGAGTTAATGAAGACTGGAAAATAAATTAAATATGTATATATTATGATGAATATCCTCTGCCTATTATATTTATTTATTTATTTTTTTAAAAAAGATATCGACGATTAGGCATTATGCTATTATTCACGTCTAAATATCAGCATTATTCATATACATGTAGATATTATTATATGCTGATTACACTATTTGCCTTATTACACTATTTTGCCTATACCGTTTTTTAGGACTTCGAATTTCGTCTAATGGTTTGGATTGTTTGTACTTGGTTTTATTTTATTTTTATCACACCTAAGAAAAATATGGATTTTTCATTTGGATCTTGATGTTTAATTAAATAAAACAGAGCAACCGAGAAATAACCGAGAACACACCAACAACCGAAAACAAATGAACTCTCCCGGTAGAATTCGGTGTGTAATTTGTAATGTAAATATACGTGCTGATTTGTGAGTAGAGCTTTTTATTTAAAAAAAAAATAATGAATGAACGAACGAAAAGTCTCTTGAATTAACCTGAGCTTAATGTACAAAAAAAGCCTGGCTACGTGGATATGTTAATGTTGCCAGTCGCAGTACTTATGTACAAATATTGTTTTATGAAAATGGCACATGACCTTTTCATTGACATATTCAAGGAGAATTGGTTCAAGGCTTTCGACAAACGAGAAGGTTGTGTATTTTTTTCTAAATTTGATACAGGAAATTTTACACAGAGCGAAAAAGGAAAAGGTTTTAATTTACGCTTCCATTCACGGTGATAAATTAGAGCCACGGCGGCTCAGTGAGTAAGGTGGTCTGGCTTCGATCCCTGTGTTGACCGAGAAAAATCCTAGGTCACGTGTACTCGCCGGCTTTCACATAAAAAGGGATCTTTTACGCGCACGCCAATGTATACACAGGACTTGGTTTTTGTACCATCCGAACGACTAGACAGCTACCCTTGTCAGACCCTCCGCCCTGAACCGATCGAACATGCCACCTCCAGACTATCGAACCGGAGTCTCACCAACTGAGCCACTGTGGCTCATTTGAGAAAAGTAGCACATTAAACTCATTTAACTTTATTTAAATTAGAAACTCTGTCTTCATTAGCCCGGTCGATGCAGAAGTGTAGGACGTTAATCACCATTTCATTAAAGTAGAAACAACCGTACCGAATAAAGATCCATGTATGTACTTTAATCAAGTGAACTATTCGCACCACAATTCAGTTTTTAAAAAAGAATTTTAGCCGTTCAAAAAAAAAAAAAAAAAAAAAATAACAGAAATAAATATAGAAAAATGAAACCACGTAGACCACATACATGTAGCAGATGTTGAAACAAGTATTTTGTTGTCATTTTAATTGTACCTGATATATATATATATATATATATATCTCATACATGGTAAATAATGACATATTTCTAACATACATGTATTTCAACCCTTCACAACAGCACACGTACAATCCAATTCAACCATATTGTCATGAAACAAAATAAGGTTTATACATGTAACGTCATACCAACCGGGATAAAATGCGATATGCAATGACGGCAATTGCTAGCTACTCTTAATAATATAATTACAAATGCACATGTACGTACATGTACTTGTACATTTATTAGGTCCAACATATTCACGCTCTGTATAAAATATATATTACAACGTACATGTACATAGTGTACATATTATGTACATGTATATATTATATTATGTACATGTA